GTAATAGGTTTGCCTCAATCAGAGAAAAGCCCCTTAGAGACGTTCTGGCTACTCTCCCCTGCCTCAGTGAGTAGGCAAGCCCCAGAACAACCTCTAATATGCTTCCCTCCCCCATACCCACTGAACATGTAGTGTCCTCGAGAAATACACCTCTGTTGTATCCCATTGAGATTTCAGGATTAAATAGACCCTCTAACACAGCCTAGCCTATCATGACTCATACAAAAGCCAAGGCAGTAGCACACGTGGCAGAGGAGAGACCAGTCACAACAGTGTCATCCACACTGTTCCCGAGTCCCAGAAAAGAGAACTTTCCACAGATTTCCAGATGTGGAATTATTGAGCCAGTAAGTCCAAACACTTTAGGGGGTTTCCGTTATAACAGTCTGACAGAGATTCTGCAGTGTCTTTGGGGTTTAGCTAACAAATGTGTTTGTCAGATTAATAAAGCCAGTAGAGTTAACTTGAACTGGAAATTGACATCACAACACATACACACATTACAATATATTATACTCGTACTTTGACTTGAAATCTTGAGATGATGATACAAATGCTGATTGAGTTGTCTTTGCCTGAGTTCGCCATTTGTTTTGCAAGAAGGGCAGTATTAATATTTTCCCCTTAGTGTAAGACATCTCAATTTCTAAACAACTTTTATCCTATATATTTAGTTCTAAAGTTGATTGTTTAGAATTCTGGCTGCCCTTTCCTGACTGCAAAGAATTAACAAAGGGTGATTAGTTTCCCAGGCCAGATCCTACAGCCTATTTAACCTACAACGTGGCTAGACAAGAAATACATATTATTTCAGGACATAAATACGACTTACATTATTGATTCTAACCAAGGAGAAGCAAACTAAATGTCATTTTACGTAAGGCACAATAGTAGAATCAAGTAGGAAGCTGTGCCAGGTATATATGCATTTTATTTGAAAAAGGAGAATGTCAAATTCCAAAAGTGCACTGATGCATAATAATGGAAGTCCAACTGACCCAAATGCACACATCTAATCATAGATTCCAAATATTTGTATAAATAAAGATGAAACATCTTATGAGGCTAATAATTATAAAATGTTTCAGCTTGGAAGAATTAAGTTTAAAAATCACTTAAAATATAAAATATGCATGAAAACGAGGCTCTGAGTACGTAGCATTTCCAATGTGCTCCAGTCCTTCTTCCATATTTTTCCCATTTTAAAGATTTCTCTAACATCTACAATTGGAATTTCTCGTGCCTTCTGAAGTTTTTCTTAACCTTTCAAAATATTTTTAAGAATAATACATGCTACCTATAGAAAACAAAGATAAAAAATTCAAACATAAATGGCTTGTAACCACTGCTAACCATTCAGGTACCTATTGGTAAACTTCTTGTGCCTGACGGACAGCCACAAAACTCAGCATCTTAACCCAACAGCCATTCATTCCCATGGATCTACAGGCTGGCTGAAGTAACTCTGCTTCTCGCTGTCGCGTGCCAGGACCAGAGACAGGGATGGCCAAAACTTTTTCTAATGGTGATACAGCACTTTTAGAAAGTGAGGCAGGTCTTATATGAGCTGTCATGGAAAGATCCTGTATTTACTTCATTGAGTTATAAGAGCAAGTTACAGAACAATATGCACACTGTTGCCTATGTATGCCTAAAAACTATACTTTTACAGTACATCTATGTATGAAAAAGCCTCAAATTAGCTTTAAAATGACACACACCAGACTGTTCATTGTGGTTACTTTTGAAAATGGGGTTGAAATTTGGAGGAAAGTTCTAAGGGTCGGGGGAGACTGTGACTGACCTGTGTTAGAACTTTGTGTAACAAGAATTACACTACTATTAGCTTTGTCTAATGTAAAGCTTTGTCTAATGACAAATGTTTAAATGAGCCCAACAACAGAAAAAGCAGTTGTGTATTCCTCAGATAAAGTTACTGATGCAACAGAGAAAACCTGAAATTTGAGTGGCTTAACACAAGAGCTTTCTTTTTTTTTTTTTAAGATTTTATTTATTTATTTGAGAGAGAGAGAATGAGAGATAGAGAGCATGAGAGGGAAGAGGGTCAGAGGGAGAAGCAGACTCCCCGCTGAGCAGGGAGCCCGATGTGGGACTCGATCCTGGGACTCCAGGATCATGACCTGAGCCGAAGGCAGTCGCTTAACCAACTGAGCCACCCAGGCGCCCCAACACAAGAGCTTTCTTATGCACATAAAACCTGATGGGGTTTGGCAGAGACTCACTGCTGTCAGGTGACCCAGAGATCCAGGCTGTCTCCATCATCTCACATGGGCTCCCCATGTTTGCCGCTGAATGGAAGAGAGAGCATGGAAGTAGCACACTGGCTTTCATGTGCCTTGGCCTGGAGGTGACAAACATGCCTCTACTCATGTATCAGTGGTAGGGGTTAGTCATATGACCTTTCCCAACTATAAGTGGACTGGGGATGGAATCCCTCCCACATTGTAGGTGCTCCATGAAGAGCAACTCCTGCAATTGGTGGTTAACAACGACCCGTTCCCTTCTTGGAGGGGTTTCTGAGAAGGCCAAATTTACCCTGAAATTCATCAATTATTTTTCTACTGCATACAATGTGACAGAGTTTTCAAATATAGGATTATATCTAATTTTCAAAAGGACCCTGTAATTCTTAGCAGGGAGGGCTTACCCCTTGTCCCTCAACAGCACCTTTTCTGCATGACCATTTGCAATAACCTGTATAATCTCAGTAGGCTGAGGATTTTCTCCTACCTTCTGGCGCATGGTCAAAATCATAGCTACCCACCACATGACTGAGCTTGCCTGAATACCTGAAGAGGTGCCATTAAGCACCAGCATTTCCCTGGGACAGATACAGACAAGATTCACTGGAAGAATGGTGAATACTTTTTCCTTTTTATTGAAAGTCAGCACATCTGTTAAGGACTCCAAGATGGGTTTTTAGAAATTCAGCCTCAGTAGACATTTGCTTATGCAGTGATTTCCTCAGTCCTTCTTCATCTACCACTTAGGAGGGAGGCTTTGGTTCTTGAGCACTTAGTTAAGCTCACTCATCAGTGTGTGGATTCAGTGGCCACTTTCAAGTAAGATATTCCATTAAAATCCTACTGCAAATATCAGGTTGTTTCCCAAAAAAGGCCTCTCCAGCCTCAGTTATAAACAAAGGCCTTATAGATTCCATGTCAAATCAGAGTTTATGTTAATAGCTGATTTGGCAAAACACACACACACAACTTTGAGAGTGAGGTGGAAGCACCCAGGGGAGATGGGGAGGTGTCTAAACCTGTCAGAATTACACAGAAGGGCAATTGCTGTCAGAGGGGGGCCAGAGGGAGGGATGAGAGCTGCTGGGAGTTGCAATGCTCTAAGTCAGGGGAGGGCGGGGGATAGTGGCTCTCTGTGCCACCAGGAGCAGGGGCAGCCTCCAGAGCAGGACACACAGGAGAGCTGGCCAACAGGCCAGGTCCCAGTTTGGTCATGAGGGCTACTGGGAAGGTCCCAGGGGAGGGAGCTATCATGCAGGGAAGTGCCAGGACTGCACACAAGTGCTGGGACCAGGGCAGCGCCAGCTCTCAAGGGACCCTGGGGCGAGGGGCGGGAGGATCCTAGGAAAATGAACCCCATGGACAATCCCCAACTTGTCCTTGATTTTCATTTGCACCTTCCTTCTTTAGGCCTGCTTTTAGTACTTCAGCCACAGGGTCCTTCTTTCATTGCCTGAGAGCCATCATGGAATAGTGAGAAGAGAAAGGAATTAAGAGACACGAGGTTGGCCTCGGGCTGTAAGGAGTGGAACAGCGTAGGTTCCAGAGGAACCAGACCAGACTCTACTCCTGGTTCTGTCACTTCATCAGCTATGCGAACTTGAGACTATTTCAAGTTCTTCATCTGCCAAGTGGGTTGGAGAAGCCCTGTCCTGTAGGACTGCTGGAACACACGTAATGTATGTGAAGCACCTGGCACAGTGACTGACAATTATTGGGTCTTTAATAAATGGTAGTTATTATTATGCTTTTTTTCACACCAGAAGGAACTACCCTCATCTCTGAGAATTTTTTTTTTTTTTGTCCAGGAGATGTCAGAGACTGCAGTGCTGTCTTCCTGAATGGCAGCTATGCCACTGAGAAGACCCCCAAGTGTCCTGCTTCAGAGAATTTATACATCACTGCTCTCACTTGCCCCCCTTCCTCATTGCTTTTTTTCAAACTTGTCTTACATGTTGGAGTTCATCACACCATTGTCCTTATATATAACTGCTCTTACGCTCTAAAAATCTACGTGCAGGGTCTTCTTTATCCTTAGCATCATCACTACTAACATACAACCTTCCAAAGACCAGATGCTCAATTAATGATAAGAATAAATGGGGCATAGAGCAAGGAATGTAACTTATTACTATTTAATTTTATCTGCATTCTTGAATAAGTTAAGGACATTCAGGTATATATCCTTGAATTTTACAGAGAGGAAGACAAAAATGAATAGAACAAACTAATATTTAACTACATTTTACTTCGTTTCTATTTTAAAACCACAGCTATATTTTTGCTAGTTCTTTCATATTTCCAAGAAAAATCCCCATTCTAAAGCCATATTATGTTGTTCTGGAAGCCAAAGAAGATGCAAGGATTTTCAGGCTTTATTACATAACATCAAAACTCTTACTCTTAAGAAAATCCCCATTCCAAAGCCATATTATGTTGTTCTGGAAGCCAAAGAAGATGCAAGGATTTTCAGGCTTTATTACACAACACCAAAACTACTCTTACTCTTAAATCTAATCTGACAGCAATGTGTGATCCATGTCATTTATAGACTTGGATTCTGAATCTAAACAAACATTCTATTGAAAGGAACTACATTTGTAAGCTACCAATGTATAACAGGAAAACAAAGAAGATAAATATATTATGGCCTCGCCAACCCCACCTTAGCCTCTCACTACTTCAAAGTTGGCAGCCCTCCTCAACAACAAAGCGAAGAATCTGCCTCAGCCCTGTCTAGGGACGAGAGGAGCGGCTGGACTTGGCCCGGGAACGTGCACCGGCCTTGGTAGTAGAGGCAGCCCCAGCTGCGGCTCGGGCTCGGGCTCGCTCTTCCTCATCTCGCAGAGCCTCTTCATAATGGAATGGGAAGGCACTGGGGACGGTATCATAGATCTTGGCCAGAAACTCTAGGACTTTCATCTTGCTGGTCTCAGCGTGGGCCCTGGGGCCCCACAGGAACTCGTAGCGTGGAGGATCACTGTTGGCCACCTGGCGGTATTCCAGGTACTTTTCCTGCACCAAATCTTGGGTGATGAGCTTCCTGGGCTCCCCAAAGACTAAATGCCTCCTTCCATCATAGATACCCAAAACATTCAGGAATTCCCAGATATCTTCCTCAGAGGTGCGGTTGCCACTCAAGAAGATCACACCGAGGAGAGGCATGAGAAGCCCATTCTCAGGAAAACCCCCGGCGCTGCTCACACTGCCATCACTGGTGAGGTCTAGGCTGCTGACCAGGATATAGGAGTGACCGCCTGGCTTGACTTCCTTTAATTCTAGGCCAAAGACCAGCTCCATGCGCTCGGAGGCTTTCCGGAGGATGTCAGGAAAGTCCTCCCTGTACCTTTTGTTGATGATCTTCAGCATGTCTGCCTTCAAAATGGGTGCCCTCATTTTATGCTTTTCTAGCAGGAACTGCATCAACATCCCCACCTTCCTGGTTAGAAGATCGTTGTGAGTACTCTCAGGGGAAGTTGAGGCCTGAGAGGAATTTTTATTTTTCCGAACTTGGCTCTTGGCACCTACATTAGATCTCTGGCATGAGACACCTGCAGCAGGAGAGCTAGTGGCTGGGGATCCCTGAGGCTCCTGGGAAGCGCCAGCAGCAGGGGAACTTGGGGGAGTATCCCCAGAAACAGGAGAGTTGGGGGACTCTTCAACATTTGCTGCAGTGGCTTGAGTACCCCCAAGGCCCTGGGGCTCACCTCGGGCCTGGTGGCGTTTCTCACGGGCACGGAGCTTACTCTTCTGGCCCCGAGGCATGACTGGGTCAGGGCAATGGGCACAAGAGTGGACAGGAGGGCGGGAGATGTTGGTACCTGGAGCGGGAAAGATGACAGTGGGAGCACCTCAGCAGGGAGAGACCACCCTGGCTTTTAAGAAGCCACCTTTGCAGATATCTGTGAGGGCACGGCGCTAAGCCCCAACAGGGCTCTTGCTCTTGGTCAGCCTGTCTCCTGAGAACCCAATGGAGGAAGTCAGGGTACTCCTAGGACTCCCAGGACTAACAGCAGGGGTGGCATCATGGGCTACTCTTTTTTTTAAGATTATTTATTGATTGATTTGAGAGAGAGCAGAGTGAGTGAGAATGCGAGTTGGGGGGAAAGGCAGAGAGAGAGGGAGAAGCAGACTCTCCACTGAGTAGGGAGCCCGATTCGGGACTTGATCTCAGGACCCCGGGATCACAACCTGAGTGGAAGGCAGACAGTTCACCGACTAAGCCACCCAGGCATCCCTAGGCTACTCTTTCAATTGGGTATTGAGTGGTCTCCATTTCCTTACTCAGGATCTTCCCTTTGACTCCAAACCCTTCCTGGGGCTCTGCCCTCTGCTGATTTGAGGCCATGACCCTTAGACAAAGGTCCTCGCATTTCTGGGACCTGAGTTGACAGCCAGAGTGAGCTGACTGAGGCCTATGCCTGCTAACAGCAGGGGCGAGACCCTTCAACCCCACTGTTCTGGAGGCAGCGGCTCCCTCAGACCTCATTCAGGACTTTGACCTCGACTGCAGCTAGGATTGGGATTTCTCCATCTACCTGAGTCTACAAGCCTAAAAGCAAAAGGCCCCAGAGTAGCTAGAAGTCACTGTGCTGCACATTTGGGTACCTCCCCTGGGGACTCCCAGATATGAGAGCCGGGGGCTGTTCTGTGCAGTTCCCTATTTTGAGGAGAGGGGCCCTTATTAGCACTGACGGTCCTACCTTTACTCCTTTAGGGCCAAAACTCCTCCTTCTGCTCATGGGGCTGCCTCCTTTAGATAAAGGCCTTTCTCTACCTGAGTCACCCCCTAGGCAGAAATGAGGGGTTATCTCAGCCCGAAATACTCCCAAATTTCAGGGCTGCCATCAGGAGTGGGGTGGCCCCCTTTAGACAAAGGCCCTCGCCTCCTGAGGCCGCCCTGAGGACAATGGGATTGCTCGGCCAGCCAGTCCGCTGGGACCTCCCAGAGCCCGACCCAAGGGGCAGGTTCGGGGGGCCAACTTCGTTATGGGGGGGAAATAGTCTCTTCAGTCCCCCCCAGGGTCCTCACCTCGACTTTAGACCGGTCCGGGAAACCATCCGCTGCCCAACGAACCGCCGCGCCCAGTGGTCGAGGTCCCGCCCAGAACGGAAGTCAGGAGATCCGCATCCGGGGGCGGCGGCACCGGGGTCTCCGGGGGCTGAAAGCAGGGGTGGGCGGGGCTCTGAGGGACGCCAGCGCTTGTGGCTCCTCCCTCTGCCGGCCCAGGCCTGCCGCCCCCAGGGCCCCCACCCTCCTGAGTCCCTAGAGGGGAATCTCTGGTCCTGCCGCTCGGGGGTACTCCTTCCTGAGCCGCACAAGCCTCATAAGGGGGGGCGGGCTCTGTGAACCTCCCCCTTTCAGGAGAGATTCACTTGCATTGAGGGTCCACACCTTGACTCTAGCTATGGTCGAGACTTCTCCCCCTGCGGAGCTGGGACCATCCCGCTAGATGAGGCCATTCCTTCCCTGAGACTCACCAGGCAGAATGAGGGGACTCCTCAGAGCTCTTCTGGGTCCCCCAAGGCTAAGAATGGTACAGGATTCTATTTAGCCCCCTCTGCTTTGGGCGTCTCCTGATAACACTCATGGTCTTCACATGAATTCCTGTTAGGGCCCAGGTCCCTCCCTCTGCAAAACTGAGGCAGCTTCCATTAAACGGAGGCCCTCACCTTCCTGAGACTTTCCAGGCTGAAATCAGCCCTGCCCAGGGCTTCCCAGGGATGACAGCAGAGGAGATGTTGTGGGAGACCTCCTTTTATGCTGTGGGTGCTACTCTTGGGTCTTCACCTTGACAGATGACCGATCATGTAACTTCATTCTGTGCTTTCCTGTAGCTGCTCATCTTACCTGTAGGTCCTCCTTTCCTGAGAATTCCAAGTTGGAAGTGAGGGTGATCCTCATCTGATCATGGTCCTTGGGTGTCTCCCAAAAGACAGCAGGGATGCGATACTATAGGACCTTGCTGTTCTGGCTGGGTCCTTCCATCATTTCTCATTCATGGTCCTCACCATATCTTTCAGAGCCTGGGACTCCTTTTACTGAGCTAAGGTCACCATCCTTAGGTCTTTGGATGACCCCAGTATGTTGGGGTAGTTGTCTTCTCAGTACTCATTCATGGGGGTCCTCATCTTGGCCAGTCTCTTGATTAAAGGCTTCCTGGGAAACAACGTGTATGTGCGAACACTAGACCAGTTTCTCTACTGCAAATCTTGCAGAAAATGAGTCCATGTGCCAAGACTGATGTAAGATTAGGAAAGTGCAGCATACATCAGGGAGCCCAGGACAGGTGTTGTGGTGTCTGAGGAAAAAAAAAAAAAAAAGCTGATATATTCCTTCTCTTCACCAGCCACACTTAGGATAGCTCTAAAAGATTTACTTTTTTTTTTATGTTATGTTAGTCACCATACAATACATCATTCATTTTTAATGTAGTGATCCATGATTCATTGTTTGCATATAACACCCAGTACTCCATGCAATACGTGCACCCTCCTTAATACACATCACCGGGCTAACCCATCCCCCACCCCCCCTCCCCTTCGAAACCCTTAGTTTGTTTCCTGGAGTCCATAGTCTCTCAGGGTTCGTCTCCCCCTCTGATTCCCCCCTTCATTTTTCCCTTCCTTCTCCTAATGTCCTCCACGCTGTTCCTTATGTTCCACATATAAGCGTAACCATATGATAACTGTCTTTCTCTCCTTGACTTATTTCACCTATGACCCAGGAATTGCACTACTGGGTATTTACCCCAAAGATACAGATGCAGTGAAAAGAAGAGGCACCTGCCCCCCAATGTTCATAGCAGCAATGTCCGCAATAGCCAAACTGTGGAAGGAGCCGAGATGTCCTTCAACAGAGGAATGGATAAAGATGTGGTCCATATATACAATGGAATATTACTCAGCCATCAGAAAGGATGAATACCCACCATTAGCATCGACATAAAAGATTCACTTTTTACAGAGAAGGATGGAGCCAGATGATTTTGTGAACCCCTGATCTTTGGAGGATATCTGACTTTACACATGTAGATGATCATACTGTCACTGTCTCGTTCTCTCCTTTATTCACATCTCTGATTTATTTTGGTATTCTTATCACACTGGTTATGTATTCCAATCCAATGTTTTGGTCACAGAGTCCTTTTTATCGGCTTGAGATACATTTTGGAGTGGTAGAAGAAAGTGAATTAAGTGATTGATGGTCAGCCTCAGGCTGGGAGGAGTGGAAAAGTATGAGCTCTGGACAGATTCAGACCAAGGGTCTAGGCCTAGCCCTATCACTTATTAGCTCTTTGAACTGGGTGCATTAGCAAGTTCTGTGGGCCTCAGGCTCTGCATCTGTGAAGAAGGTTTGTTAGATCCTGTCTCACAGGGCCTGGTGGACCATGGTTAATGTACATAGAGCACCTGGAAAGATGCCTGGAATGCACTGAGACTTTACACAATGCCTGTTATTATTATGGCTATGATTATTTTGACCCCAGAGGATACCACCCACCCTGATAGAATATTTGTTTTAATCTAGTAGATATCAGAGAATATATGCCACTCTAGGACATGGAACACCAAATCAGTCCAAAGTGCTGCTTACAGAGACACTAAAGTAAATCCCTCCCCAATAAGTAATATTTCGAGCATGGGGGAGTTTTTTCCAGCTGAATGCAACTCAGATCCTCTAGAATTGGATTCAAAGATTAATTATTTCCTCTCCTCTGCCCTTTTACCCAAAGCACCCCTATCTTCACTAATTTCACCATCACCTAAAATCTATACCTCTTTTAGACTTTGCAGAATTAGAAGCCAAGTAAAAAAAACAGAACAAAACAAAAACAGTAACACAGAATTTGAATGCTCTTTTGATAAAATGGGTTCTGACTCCCCAGTTTACAGGAAAGAGTACCTGCACAGTGGCTTCTGAGTTTCCAACCTCAAAAGAGTACCGCCCTTATGTCTCAGAAACTCCCTGGAGATGGTTTGTGTAAAACACCTAGTTTGTGCTCTGTGTTCACCTGTGTTGGGAAGCATAGGACATATTCCATCCGTGCCCTGGGTGGAGATCCTGATTTATTCATAATCCCAAACTGTTAAAGGTAGTTTTCCATTCCAGACTTAAATCTCTCAACTCAGAGACCTACCACCTGGCTCACCAGTTCCACAGCCACCTTTAGCCCACCATACGGCTAACTTAAAATTACTTCCCATCATGGGTGCCTGCATGGCTCAGTCGTTAAGCGTCTGCCTTCGGCTCGGGTCATGATCCCAGGGTCCTGGGATTGAGCCCTGCATCGGGCTCCCTGCTCAGCGGAGAAGCTGCTTCTCCCTCTGCCTCTGCCTGCCACTCCCCCTGCTTGTGCTTTCTCTCTCTCTACAACAAATAAATTTAAAAAAAAAATTACTCCCCATCACAGGGCTTTCAGCTGGCCAAAGGCTCAATCTGCCTTGCCTTGGGGCATTTTACACTAGAACTCCTCATCTGGAGGTCCCCTCCCTCCTTTTTACCCCTTGTTTTTACTAATCCTTTCCATCTTATCTTAGGGAGTATCTCACCACCTATTTTTTATATGAGGGCTGCTCTTAGACTCCACAGTTTCGTAGGCAGGGGTTGGGCCTATTTTTCTTATTATCCCCAGTACTAGCCAGGAGCCTTCCAAAGAGCAAGGGCTAAATTAATATTTGGGCAATTAAAGAATATTAAATTAAATGTTACCTAGTTCTGAATGACAAGAAACGATTCAAGGGTTTCAATTTGTTTTACAAAA